GGTACCATAAATATGCTAAATCTGTTTTGCAGGAACAAAATCTGGAAGTCTCTTGGTGTTCAAAACAACAACTTTGGTTCTGGTTTCATAAACTGAATGTTTTAATTGATATAAAACAGTTTTAATCGATTAAAATCACTTACAGAGAATACCAGAAAAGCAATCCGTACAGTTTTAATCGATTGAAATACGAATCAATCGATTAAAATGTTCTCAGGAATTTAGTCTAGCTGTTTTAATCAATTAAAAAGGATTTATATCAGCTAAAATCACTAAGATGCCAAATTTAATCGATTCTTCCTCGTTTTAATCGATTAAAATTTTGTTATCATCTTATTAAATTTTTCCAGTACAAAATTAATCGATTCTTTTATGTATAAATCGATTATTTCACTGTTGCATTTTCAAACCTAATATTAAAGATCAAATTAATAGGTTAATTTGTTGATTAATTGATTAATTTGTTCCTGAAAATTATTTTTACAACATCCAATTGAAAATTGGTCGACAAATCGAGTCAAAATTCCAAGTTTTTGTGTTAATCAAAATCTGCATAATACATTTAATATATTCTTTGACCAAGTCAAACATCTTTCCAAGAACACTTTAGCTGATGTACCCACTCGTCCGTAAACCTGCGCCTCGCCTTCAGCCAAGGGGACATGTGCAATTAAAGTTGTTTTTTGCGTGTTCATCAAATTGACCGCAATTCACAAAATTTGACATCCGTAACTCTTCATCTTGCTCACTTGAAGTCCATTATTCTCATTCTTCATTTTCTGGTTCAAATTCCTTCTCTCTTCTTTCCTGTACTCACGTATCAAAACTTCTCTCTAAACTATACAACAAGATGCTTAGGAGATCAAAATCAAGAAAGAAGCATAAAGGAGAATCTTCCTCTGCTGTCAATCCTGGTGGTCATTTGGAAGCATGGTTTGATGGTGATATTGGAAGAATGAAAACCTTCATTGCTGAGTTCAGTCAGAAGCATATTGTAATTCCAAAGGTTATCAAATTCAAGTGGCTTGATGAAGAAGGATTTACTGGTCTGAGAAGAAAACTGAAAAGTCAAAAACTAAAAACCTTCATGGAGTTTACTGGGAATATTCAACCTAATTTGGTTCGGGTCTTTTACTCCAATTTAACAGTGAATGGTTCAACAATCAGATCTCAGGTGAAGGAAGTTAATATGGAAATTACTCCTTCTGTTTGGGAACAAGTTGCTGGTCTCAGGGATAGTGGTGTCAAAGTATCCAGAGGGAACATCTCTGAAATACCTGACTTCAACAAAATACAATTTTTCAGGTCTTGCCTTAAGGATCCAAATGATTTGGTAAGAATTTTAAATGCTGGAAAACTTTTACTTGAACATAGACTGTTAGCTTTCATTGTGGCATGGATGCTTACTCCAAGAGGGAGTAATCATGCTATACTTAATGAGGGAGATCTTGCCCTCATGTACTGCATCTCTAATAATATTCGGGTAAATTGGGTTTATGTGATTAAAGATCACATGTTGAAGGCAAAAAGGTTGGCGGATTACAAACTGCCGTATGCCATGTTGATTAACAATTTCTTTAGATATTTTGAAGTTGATCTTACAGGAGAAAGCATAGAAACTCCAAAAGCTTCAAATGAAATCGATGACTCCACTTTGAGAAAAATGGGATATATCAAAATTGATGATGAATGGATTTCAAAAATTGATGCTGGGATGTCTGAAGATGAGGAAGAAGATGAGCAAGGTCCAATTCCTTCCTCTCCAGCTGCTGCAGAGGTTCATGAATCCACTGGTGGGGAGGCATCATATGAGAACATGGAGATAATTCCCTACATGGAACAACCTGACTGTGGGACTCCTCTATCTCAATTTGAAAGGTCCATGCTTTCTCAAATGGCCACAATGTAGGAAAACCAAAGGAAGCATATGCAAATGACCTATCAACACTTCCAGCAAACCAACAATCAGTTCACAAACCTTGGAAACCAGATTGCTGATATTTACACCAAACTGGAAGATATGCAGCTCAACCAAGAGAATTGGGATGATTGAGTTGTTGAAAAAAGGGTTCCTTCCTATCTTTTTCTTCTATCATATCTCTTTTACTGCTAATTATCATTTCTGGTCTGTAATATTAACTGGTTTTAAACCAGGAACAATCTTTTAACTTTGCTTAATATGATGTAGGTTTTAAGTTGAATTAAGAGAGCCTAGATAGAATCAAACATAATTCTCTGATAATTTTAGCTGATACAAAATAGATTTAATCGATTAAATCGATTAAAAGAAACACTTACATAGGAAATTCACATCAAAATAATCGATTAATTAGCGTATCAATCGATTAAAATCTATATGTCATGTATTTGTATCAACTAAAACTAGTTTACATCAGTTAAATCAGCTAAATAAGATACTATTATGATTTTAATGGATCTATTGGTTAAAACTTACTCAATCTAGTTGATATTATCTTAAAACATTTTCCTAATAATCATTTTTACAAAATTCGAACTAAATTAGGCATTTTAGATGCTTCCAACATTACTTAGTTTTTCAAAACTGGTTGTTTTAATCGATAAAAACAAGCTTTAAATCGATTAAAATTACTTATACAACATTTTTCTTACTGTTTTAATCGATTAAATGTCGATTTAATCGATTACATCAACTTATGTTTCAAACTTTCGAAATTCATCACTGTTTTAATCGATTAAAACATTATTTTAATTGATTAAAATCAGTAAAAGGATCATTTTAATCGATTTTGTCCTGTTTTTAATCGATTATTACTCTGGAAAGAAAAATTAAAGGCTTTAGTTAATGATTGTTCTTGTAACATGCTACTAAAGCATGGTTCTCTTATCTTTACACGTGTTAATGAAGATAAGTTTGAATCAACTTTGATTGGTCTTTACATGAGTAAGGTATCTTGTCCAAATTTTTTTTTTTTGTACTATTTTCAAAATCTAAATTTTGATACATACCATGCATATTATTTGTTTTGTTCCTCTGTTCCCTATTTTTTATGAAGTCAAAAGGGGGAGAAATAATATTGATTTTCCTTATTTAGGGGGAGTAGCAATATAGGGGGAGAAATGGGAAAATGATTAATTTTTTAATACTCACTAATCTATATATTCAAGTGACTTCTTTTGTAGAGTTATTATTCAAAGAGGTGTTTGTCTTCATCAAATAGGGGGAGACTGAAAGTGATGAAGATCTTATTGAATTACTTTGGCAAAGATCTTGTTGATTTGATGAAGTCAAAATTAAAGTCAAATGCTACTTTGTGGCAGTCAAAGGTCACTTAGAAGAAAGGGTAGTGTGATTAGTGAGTTTGCATCTTTACTTAGGTATAATCAATTTTATCTCTCTGCTGCATGAGGTTTTCTTCATTTAAAAGATTTTGCAAATGCCTCTAAAATGGGTTTAAACAGTTAAAAACAAAGTATTTTGTTAAAAAGTTTTTAATTAACTATTTTAACTAATAGTATATAAGCGTTATCAACTAAAATGTTCTTAATACTTTTGTAACAAGTTTTTAACTGATATGTTTTCCAAATAATCGATTGTTTTCATTAGAAGGATTTTTGAAAACCTTACGCAGTATTTTAACCGATATAGAATTGATATAATCGATTAAAATGACTTAGAATATTTTGAAAAGTGTTCTGGCAGAATTTTAATCGATACAAACTCGAAATAATCGATTGAAATAACTTAAAGTGTTTTGAAAGTTGTTCTGTCAGTATTTTAATCGATACAAATGCAAAATAATCGATTAAAACAACTAAGAGGTTTTGCCAAAATGTTTTAATCAATTAAAACAAGCTTGCTATCAGTTAAAATAACTTAGAAAGTTTTATGAAATCTTTTGGTAGAATTAAAATCGATTAAAATGCGTTTCAATCGATTAAAATAACTAAGTGAACTTTTTTCAAAGTGTTTTAATCGATTAGAACAGATTGTTATCGATTAAAATCACTTAGAAAAGTTTATAAGAATGTTTTGCAAGTATTTTGATCGATTGAAAGACGAAACAATCGATTAAAACAATTTGGAAGATTTTTTACAAAGAGTTTTAATTGATATAAACGTTGTCGTATCAGTTAAAACAAATCTGGAAAATAATCAAGAACTTTTTAACAGATTAAAAGAAGTTTTAACAGATTAAAACAAAACTTTTAACAGATTAAATAAACCAGCAGTTTGGAAAATCTTCTATATAAACAGAATTGCTTGAACCTTTTGAAAGACATCTTTTGGCAATCAATCAAGAAATCATAAGTGCTACTTTCAAGAGAGAATCGTGCTAGTTTTGTGAAGTTCATAGAAGTTCTTTCTTGAGGCAAAATTTGCATTCTTTTGGAGAAGAAACTCATTCTGCAGAGCTGCATAAACCTGGTTTGGGTGTTCTAGTTTCTTCTCTTTATTTCTTTACTTTCTTTACTGTATTGTGGGTGCCTGGAATTGTGGGTACTGGTTTCTGTGGCTGGAATTTGGCTGCAGGGTTGGTCAAGAACTGGAATTTGGTTCTTGGTGAAGGTTTAGGTGCAAGGACTGAAATTTTGGTTCTTGTGGTAGATTGAGTGTGGGATTAAAGTTGTAATTTATAAAACGTTCAATCTAGTGGAACCCAGCTGGAATTTGGCTGGAAACTGGACGTAGCCCTGGGATTGGGTGAACCAGTATAAATCTTGGTTGTATCTTTCTAAACCTTTCTCTCTTTTAATTCTGTCACTGCCTTTATTTTGATTGCTTGTTGTGTGTGATTCAAGAACTGGTCATAATTCTTAAATCTTTGAAATAGATAATCTGTAAATTGCGAAAATCTTTCAAAGATCAATTCAGCCCCCTCTTGATCTCAGCCTACATTTCTAACACTTGTGTGACCTTCTCAGAGTGCAACCAGCTAGTGACAAAACTATCTGATCTGCATTGGAATACATTAGTTGAAGTGATACATATTACAGAGGTACAAGAAGCCTTGTTTTCTATGCTTGACAACTTCTCTTACTCTGAACTCGTGATTGAAAAGTGTGACAGCCTACGGTCTGTCCCCAGAATGATACTTAGTGCAAATTGTCTTCAAAAGTTTACTCTTACAAATATCCCATCTTTGATTTCCTTCTTAGCTGATTGTTTTCCCATATCACTGCGATCTCTTGACATTTGGAATTGTAGAAAATTAGAGTTCTTATCTCACAATACATGGCACAAATTCACATCACTTGAAATACTAAGAATATGGAATAGTTGTTGTTCCCTGACATCTATTTCATTAGGCATTTTCCCTGCCCTTCAAGAGCTTTATATCCGTTTTATTCCCAACTTGGAAGCAATTACTACTCAAGGTGGAGAATCATCTCCCAAATTAGTTGATTTTATTGTCACTGATTGTGAGAAACTTAGATCACTGCCAGATGAAATAGACCTCCCTTCCCTTGAACACTTCCGAAGCTAGAATCATCACTACTACAAATAAAGCTTTCAACGTCGGTTCGGAAGGCTTTCAACATCGATTCACGACGTTGAAAGTATGATTTTTTAAATTAATAATTTTTATTTATTTACAACCCTTTTACCCCCTTTTATTTATCTAGAAGTCTCCCTCTCTTTATATTATATTTTTATTAGGTCCTCCCTCTCTTTATATTATATTTTTTAGAAGTTTATTAATTTATTAAGAAAATTGTCATTGGCGGGATTCGAACCCAGTACCTTAGAGTTGGAGGTCGGTACTCCAACCACTAAACTACTAGAATTTTCCGATAATAACTTACAAATAAATTATATTTATATACAAATAAATATATATCCGTGTAAATATATAAATATATAAATACAAATATATTTATATATTTTGATATATTTATATAGTTATATATTTATATGTTGGATATGAGGGCACACTCGAAAGTGAAAGTGTGTGTCGAGTGGGTTTTCAAAATTTGATGTTAAATTTGTGAGCGGTATCTTTATATGAGTTTGTAATTTAATGACAGAATATAATCTTTATAATTTTATTTATATAATGATATAAAATAAATTTGGGAAACGCGTTATTTGCTCTCAAGCGAAAAATACCAATTTTTGCTCAAGCGAGACTTGAGTGAGTGAATTTCCGTGAGCTTTAACATATTTTCACTCAAGCAAGAGTCAATCACACTTTCACCCTCGATCGAAAAATACCAATATAATTTATTTGTAAGTTATTATAAAAAAATTATAGTAGTTTAGTGGTTGGGATATTAACTTTCAACCCTAAAATACTAGGTTCAAATGCTATCGATGACAATTCATTAACTTAAGAGAATTTTTTGTTGAAAAAAAAAATAAAAATACTTTCGAGAAAATATATACAAATAAATATATATTTACATGGATATATATTTATTTGTATATAAATATAATTTATTTGTAAGTTATTATCGAGAAAATTCTAGTAGTTTAGTGGTTGGAGTATCAGCCTCCAATTCTAAAGTACTGGGTTTGAATCTTGTCAATGACAATTTTCAAATTTAAGTGAGTTTTTGGGTGAAAAAAAAATAAAAAAATAAAAGACTTTCAACGTCGGTTCATATGGGAACTGACGTAGAAAGTACTTTCTACGTCGGTTGACTAAGAACTGACGTAGAATGTGTTTAATATTAAACTTTCAACGTCGGTTCATCTGGGAACCGACGTGGAAAGTACTTTCTACGTCGTCTCAGCTATAACCGACGTTAAATGACGATGTAGAAAGTATATTTTGTAGTAGTGCATTGTCTCCAAGGTGTTTGCCTTCTAGTTTAAGATCACTTTATGTTGATGTTGGAATACTATCATCAAATTCCAAACAAGAGTTAAGTTTGCTATTCAAACGCCTAACTTCTCTGTCACATTTTTAGTCAAGGGTCTTCGTGATGAAGATCTTGTTAACACTCTTTTGAAGGAGCAGTCCCTGCCTACTTCTCTAGAATATCTTTTCTTACATAATTTCAGTGGTTTAAAGTTGTTGGAAGGAAAAGGGCTTCAAAATCTCACTTCTCTCCAAATGCTTCACATGTACAATTGGCCAAGTTTTGAGTCCTTACCTGAGGATCAACTTCCATCCTCTCTTGTAGTACTCAGTCTGAGGGAGTGTCCTTTACTGGAAGCAAGGTATCAAAGTCAGAATGGAAAATACTGGTCTAAAATTGCTCACATTCCTGCAATCAAGATAAATGAAAAAGTCATAATATAAGTTGTTGCATGAATAAGAGTCATCTAAAGGAAAACGAATGCTCATTTATTTTGAAAAAAGTACGATGTGAAATTGTTAATCTTATGCCATTTTTATTTTATTTCGTTTGTTCCAAGAGAATGAAATTTGGCTGTCAAACTTACCGTTGATCACATAAATAATTGTTCAGGGATTGACTTTTTGTTTCAAACTAGTTTGGATTGTTGAGAACATAATGATAATACATTTACTTCAAATTTGTTTTAATTTATTAAATAAAAACATTTAGAGTATAGATATTTTTATTTTTTATTTTTTATTTTTTTTTAATTGTTGAAGATTCAATAACCAATAAATATGTCTAGAAACATGGGATAATATGATATGTAGTTTATTTCCAACTCTATTAAACAAGTAAATTAATAAAACATTTCATTTTCTCTCTCATTACATTTAATGTCATCTTCTTTTATTTTATTTCAACGACAAATTGTTACTAGAGCTTTCATCATCGAGGGATATGTGAGTTGAGAGGATCACCAATAAAGGGAGATCCACAGTGGGTTCACCACCAATTTTTTATGAGTTATGGGCTGCAAGGATAATAAATTATCTTGAAGCATTGATCTTTGGGACGCAGCAAAAGAAGAAAAATTATGTTCCTAAGTTGTTTAAAAATCCAACAATTGCTCAAATGAAGTATCACAAGAGACGAAGACAAAAATGGCAAAAGAAAAAAAAATGTTTTTTTCTTCTTCTATGTTAAAAATTATCTTTACAAGAAAGAAATTTCTCGATGTGAAAGAATTAGAGGTATGCAAGTGCACAACTTCTAGAGAAATCGAGATGCAAAACAAAAACCATGAAAAGTTATGTTCATGGCCTCAGAAGTATAGCAAATAAAGTGCGACTTCTTGAGAAGTCCTTTCTTGAAGAAAAAATTGTTCAAAAAGTTATGTAATCGAAATATTCTCCCTCCTTCCACCATGGATGACACTGAAAGCCTCACACCTTGAGCACTTAAGGTGAACCAAAATTCTTTTCCAAGCTTTAAAAGAAACTTGATACTAACTCCTCAAAGGAAGGTTCTTTGTTAAGAGAATAGGAGAAAGCAATTTTGAAAGACACTTGAAAAGTCAATCCGAGGTACAAGCAAAATATACAAGTTCCACACGCAAGTTTTGACTTCATTCCAATGTGATTTAAAATGTTACACAAGGAGTCATATATATACTTGTTCCCCTCTTATTCACTCACTCACCTAAGGAATGTGGGACTAATTTTGCCTTATACAAGTGATGGCCAAATTCCTAGATTCAAGTCCCACCTATATCACTTTTAGTTACATTTATGAGTTTATATACAAAAAAACTCTCAAATGTTGCAACCAAGAGTTGAACCATGGACTCCTTGAGTGATTGGAGTGTTTTGGAAGAATTTGAGAAGCTAAAACAACATATTCCCTCTTTGTTGCAGCCAAGACTTGAACCTTAAATGTAGCCCCTTCAAGTTTGGGCCTTATTTGAAGCCTAGTGTATTGAGTCCCAGTGTGATGATGCCCAATGTGTTATGGCCCAGATGGTCCTCCATCAGACCCTCCCTCTTGAGAAGGATCTGACCTCAGATCCAAATCTTCCCTGCAAAAGAAAACAATTTATTTAAAAGTGAGAGATCTAATTTAGGTATTTATTAAAAGTGAGAGATTTAATCTAGGTATAACACAAGGATTGAGACTCTCCTTGATCCCAACCCTTCTTCATCAAGTCACTTACTTGATTTTCTATCCCAAGGGATTCATTCAATATTCTATTCCCTAAAAGTGAAAGTTCATAAGGTACTTATTTGGGAAACAAATTATTATTCTCAAAATTATGTTATACCCCATGTGGTAGAAAATTAAGTCTATAACTTGTGGCAGCAAGTGTCCTTTTTATGAGAAGAAAAGAGGTTGTTCAAACTTTAGAGGAGACATTTATTTTGAAAAGTTCTTGTTGAATAACTCTTTTAGAGAAGACTCAAAACCCCCAAACCCTATTCCTTCTCAATTCAATTTTTATTTAAAAGATAATGTTTTTGTTTTGACTTTTTTTTTTCTCTCTTACAATTTTATTTTTGATTTTTATTTGGTCATCCCTCACTTGTTGAGGTGTAAGAGGACACAAAATTATTTTTCTATCATTGTGAAGGAAACTTATCTTGTTAGTGTGGTCATCATGGATAGTTTGTCTATCATGTCATGGCCTACCAAGTAGAATATGCCCAACATCCATAGGAACTACATCACACAAAATATTTTCTTTGTAAGTTCCTATAGATATTGGAATATATACTTGTTTATTAACTACTATACCACCATCTTCATTGAGCCATTGAAGTTTGTAAGGTTTTGGATGGGGTATAGTAGTTAAGGCTAGTTTTTCCACCAACCTAGAACTACAACAGTTACAACAAGAACCACTATCCACAATTAAAGAACAAGTGTTTTTCAAAACTTCACATCTTGTGTGGAATAGGTTTTCCCATTGGGATTGTTCTAGCTCATAATGTTGGCTTCTGAGAAGCCTTCTCACTACAAGTAATTCTCCTTCACAAGAGAGAATTTATTCCTTAGAGTTTAAAATTTCCTCTTCACTTAGTGAAGAGTGAGCTTCATCCTCACTTTCTCTTAGTCTTTTAAAAACATAACTTTTTTATTGGGATAGTCAGAAGCATAGTGCCCTCTTCCAAGACATCGAAAGCATTGAATGTCTCTAGTTCTAACCCCTTTGGAAGGTTCTTTATTTTTATATATTTCTTTTTCTTTTTCTCTTTCTCTTTCTTTTTCTTTATCCCTTCGTGACCCTTCATCCTTAAATGTGGAGGGGTAACCCTCCCTTTTAAAATCTTCCTTAGGAATAGACGTGTTAAGGTAGTCTCTCCTATGAGAATATTTTCTTTTCAATTGTTGTTCTACCCTTACACAAAGTTGAACTAGTTTGTTTAAGTCATTATAAGGCAATAGTTCAACTTTATCCTTAATCTCTAGGTTAAGGCCACTCTGGAACCTAGCAATTGTAATTCGTGGTTCTTCCCTTATCCCAACCCTCATCATTAATAACTCCATTTTTTGCCTGTACTCCTCTATGATCATATTTTTCTGTTGGAGTCGTTGGAGCTTATCCATCAATTCCCTATCATAATAAGAGGACATGTGTATTTTCTTAAGGGCACTCCGGAGTTCACTCCAATACCTAACTTGGGGCTCATTGTGAATTCTCCTCTCCAATATTAGGGAAGTCCACTAATACATTGCATGCCCTTAAAAACTAAGGGTTGCCATGGGCACCCTTCTTTCCTCATTGACATTATGGCACTCGAATAATTGTTCTACCTTTATCTCCCAATCTAGGTATTCTTCTACATTATCTTTTGCATGAAAGGGAGGAAGGTCTACCTTAGGTTCTCTGGGATGATTCACCCTAGTCCTATGTCTCCTAAGGGGGGAGTGTTGATAGTAATCATCATTGTAATGTCTACTATAAACCTCCATGCGTGGTGAGTGAGGTTCTTCATGGTGTTCTAATCTTCTCCTAGAACCCTCACTTATATTTTTAGTTTTATGTTTATTATCTAAGAGTTGGGCAAACATAGCCATTATTTCCTCATCTCTTTTTTCAATTTTCTCTTCTAAAGTGCTAAGCTTGTCCTTAACGGAAGAGTGTTTCTTAGATCTACGGTAGCTCTCATCCACACTAGAATGACTTGAAGGGACATGAGAATGGTTACTCATTTTTTTTAAGAAAGATTTTCACAATAATTTGAAAAATTATTTTTCACAAAAATGAAGTGACAAAGGTTTTCACAAAAGAAGTTTTTCAAGTGTGTGTGTGAGGGACCCCTAAGACCAAAGGAGGGTCAACTAGTCATTTAAAGACTCACCAAGATTTTGTCATAGAAAAATTAAATTCTACTTGTAAAAATTTACATAAAGTAAACTAGACAGAAACCTAGAGTAAAAGTCCAAGTGACACTTCATGAACCTCTTGGGACACTTCCACAAGACTAATTTGTGAAACTATTACAATGTTTAAAGTAGGAGATGCAATTGTACCAATGACATTTTCCCAAGACACCCATCAAAGTAAAATTTACAACAAGAATTATAAAAAAACAACAAAATCCGTGACAAAATTACAACAAAAATTTTAGTAACACTTTTTTTGACGAAAAGGCTTGTTTTGTGAGGGAAATTGATGAATTTTTCTGCCATTACTTTAAGGTTCCTCACTTGGTCAAGTGTTTCACTCTTCTTGCACCTCAATTCTTGCTTCCCAAGCTTCCTTGAAGAACACCTTCTCCTTTCTTCTTAAAGACACCTAAGATGCTACCTTGAAGAAGAAGTGAGTTTCCAAGAAACAAGAAAAAATAAAATGGTTCTTTTTTCTTTGAGAGCTCAAGATGCAAGAATACAAAATACAAGAAAAGGTCAAACAAGAATTGGACACAATCAAGTGATTAGAATTATTATTTGACAAACTTAACAAATTCAAAAAAAAAAAAAAAAGACAAGCAAAAAAATTTGACAAATTTTAAAAGAAGGCACTCAAAATAAGCCTAAGAATGGATCTAGAATGGATTACAAAAATAAAAGACTTAAGTTGAATCACTTATAAGCCCAATTTGAGCTTCTCCAAATTATACACTCCTTTAATCTCTTTTAATAAACACACATGTCAATTCCACTTTTGTTTTTAAGGAGTGTGGGACTTATGTAAGAATTGCAAACATATTTTCAACTTTCTTTTCTTTTAGTCTCGGCTTTTCCAATTCAAGTTCTTTGTATTTTCAATTTCACAATTTCAATTGTTCTTATGAGACTTAAGCCTTTTTCAAATCAAATTTAAATTCAAAATTTTATGACATTATTTCCACATAAGTCCAACACATTATCATAGCATATTAATCCACAATTGATTCAACTTTCAAAAATTAAAAGAAGTCTAGACCAATCTTGGGTTGTATAAGAATTTTATGTTTAGAAT